ATAGAAGCTATATCACAAAAACAACATAAACTTAACATCTTATGTTACAGAAGTATGCGTTGCTGTTTATAACTCTGTTAAGCCTCATAGTTGGTTATTTTTTGGTGCTTGTTTTGAAGCTCACACTTTTTAGCTTTTTAAGAAGTAATTGTTTTACCAGATCAATTCTCTCTGATTCAACCTAATTTATCTTACTTCATTATAGGTGTCAGGGTCATGATTGTATCTTCATGGCCTTGATCATGGTTTTACTTGGATTATAGATTATTATTTGATAATTGATTCTTTACAGGTGACAGTACTTTTGAAGGAATGTCGAGACATTCAACTTCGTTGTGGCTCAATGGGATATGATATTGTTGATGATGCTTCAAATATTGCTTTGAGGACAAGTTCAGAGACTGAAGCTGAGCATGTCATATCAGAACACCTTGTAAGCTGCTTTTGCATTTATTTTCTCTCATCTTGAAATTATCTGTTTCATTGTTACAGATGTTCAATTTTAATTTGGGATGCAGTTGACCTTCAAGGACATTAATGGACTAGTTGAGCAGAATGTCCAACTTAGAAGCCTTGTACGTAGTCTTTCTGTCCAGATTGAAAGTCAGGAGCTTGAGTTCAAGGTTAGTCGAAAATGAAATCTTTTTTATTCTTTATACTTATTCCTGTCCTGTTAATATTTGGTTGTTCTTGTCCTGTTAAATTGTAGGAGAAACTTGAAATGGAACTCAAAAAGCATACTGAAGAAGCTGCTTCTAAAGTTGCAGCTGTTCTGCAGAGAGCAGAAGAGCAAGGGCACATGATTGAGGCTCTTCATGCATCTGTAAGTCTATATTATAGTTCATGGTCTGCAACCTGGGGTTGGGATGGGGGTTTTGTTTGAGATAGGAGGAAATCACCTTACAGTTCCCTGTGGGATTAAACCACTCGAACATAGAATGCGAACTGTCGGGTAATGACTTTTGGTCAGAATGCTCGGACTTGTAATGTTCTACCTCTTTGATAATTGTTATATTTTTCTACCTTGATTTGTTTTTTTATGAGAAATGGTATTGTTCGTGAATTTCATGTGTTCAAAAAGTCTGTCAAACAGTTTATACCTTGTTACTGCACTATTTAGGCCTCTAAGCTTATACTTTTTATGTCTTACTTCTTGTAGGTTGCGATGTATAAGAGGTTGTACGAGGAGGAGCATAATCTTCATTTATCTCATAACCATTCTTCCGAAGCACTTGCAGGTTTCATAAATATTTATTTGTTGATATTTACTTTTAATTTTTCCCATAATTGTGCGATCAAATTTGAATGAGAACAGGTGTTTTATGAGATCGAGACTAGTACCATATAAGACATTTTTCTAAATAATTTTATTTTAACGAGGTTGTGACCTGTTGGATTCTATGTAATTAGGTGTAACATCATAAGTTACAAATCAAAGCTGAAATTTGCATAAAAGCATGGCGGAAAGTTAGGATTATTCTACCTGGTCTATTTACAGATTTTCAGCTGTTGGGCTTTTTCATAGGCTTTGATGTTTGAACACCATGATATATCTAAATGAAAACCAAACTTAAGCAAGAATGCATATTGTTTTGGCTATGGTATTGAGAAGAATGATCTTGTTTGATATATTCCATCCCTTTTCCATTAACTACTTCTCTTTTTATTTCAATACTGCTTGCTGTTATGATGTAACCTCCGTTCTTTGCTAAAGTTGTCTTCTTACAAAATGCTGTTATTCAATAGTTCTGCAACAAATGCTAACACTAACCGTCTTTAATATCAATCACTATTTTATTGGCTAGAGTTCTTGTAGATGATACTTGGACTAAACTGTTGAGAATTCAAGTGTGTTTGAAGTCCCATATTAGATAAATATGAGAAAGTTGAGTAGTTTATAAGTGAGAAAGATCCATAACCTAATGCCTTAAGGTTTTGTGTTGAAGGTGATATCATATTCTTTTATATAGTTGATTAATACCTCCTTTGTGATAATCTCTCTATTGTTAGTCTTTCTCGAAAATACCTAACATGAACTAGCTTAACGTGTTTGTTATTTGAATGCATTATGATGTGGAACAACACAAAGTCATAGATTTTAATGGGTAAGGATTAGGGTTTTACGATGAATGAAGGAAGCAAACTAGTATATACCAAAGATATATTGAGAATTGGGAAATGTCAAGAAGCTTTGCATAGTCATCAGAAGGCTTAAATAGTCAATTGCTGTTGTTTTGGTGCTGTGAATGTACCTAGGATTTTGTGTTTGATGTGTTTTAAGGAATGTTGGAGGAAGAAAAGGATAGACACATGTTTGAGTGTTGGCTAGTTTTAATCTTGTCTCTAGAAGAAGTTATATTTGGGTAGCATAGAAAATCTGATTAAAAATAAATTAGAAATTGAGAAATGGCAGCAAATTGTGTTTAATTAGTACAAGAGATTCAGAAGGGAGCGTCATGCTGCTCCAGAGGTGGAGGAGGGGATGCAGGTTTGCCGTACCCACCTCCCCTCAAAGCTTTTATTGTACCTATATATATATATATAATTTTAAATTAAATAAAATTATATTTTAAATATAAAAAAATTTAATTATTATATTTTCTTTTTTATAAAAAATAATAATTATAATAAATATGATTTTTATTTTCTCACACAATTTTCTATTTATTTATTTTTCTCTCTCATCCTTTTATTTTCATATTTTTATTTTATCCTCTTCAACCTTTTCACTTTCTCCACTTCAACTTCAAACACTCATCTTTTTACTTTCATATTTCTACTTTTTTACTTCCATATTTTTCTCTTTTATAGTTTCACCTTCTAATATAAAAATTGTAAGTTTTTGTCTTTAATTATCACACTTTTCTTAAAGTAAGCACTTTTTTGTTGTTTTTGTTTACTATTATAGCATATTATCATGTATATTATTTGCAATTAATTAGTTATTTGTTTTAATGTTTTATGATGTTCAATTTTGATGTTAAAATGTGAAGGAAAAAAATTATGTTAGGTTTTAGAGAGTTTAAGAAAAAATTTATGTACTTATTTTTTCAAGAGAAAGTAGAGAATATATAATCAAATAAACTTTAACTTAATTTAAAGTCAACTAGTAATATTGAAAATATTTTTGAGCAATTTACAAAATAAAATATATAATAATTAATGATTTTTATAATATGAAATATCGTCAAACACAATTAAAATGTATTTAATCTTATATATGTTTGTTTTATGTTAATGTTAAATTATATGTGGATGATTTTTAATTTTTAATAATTTTATATAATATCTGTATTTTAATATCATATTTAATTTTAATGTATATATATTATCCAATCTGACTCCCCTCATCGAAAATTTCTAGCTTTGCTCCTTTGTTGCTCTTGCTAATCCTCTCATATCGCAACTCATTAATTCCTTTTCCTTGTAAGGTATAATAAAACTTACTTAAAATTTTAGATTTGAAGGGTATAAAAGAATGCTAGTATTAAACTAGAAAAGCTAGCTTATGAGAATATATAAAATTAAATTAATATATATACATTATCTTTTATATGGTATCGACACACTTTCTGTGAGAATTTTTTTGTTTAATAATTTAAATAAATTTCATTTGAGGATATAAGTAGATAAAAGACCAAGATACGTAGCATTATAAAGTTGTGAAAATGTTGGCAGAGCTGACAATATAGAGGATACTAGCTTTAGTTCACCACGGGTATTGAATCCTTATGAAGGTCGATGAAAGAAGGGAATACACATACTTGAGAACTTAGAAAAAGAAGTCTAGTAAAAGTTATCAGGTCCTGAAGATGTCCTAGCTAATGTATTAATAATGTTTGTCCAATGAAAGCATGCAGAAGCATGTATATATTCTATCTCTAGCAAAAAACAATAAAACCTTAAAGTAGTTCCCAAGTCTTGTTTTACCATTTATCTGTATGGATTTCCTTAGACACCATCAAATCCTACTTGTCTTCATCCGAGAATTATGGGGAGATTTCTTTCAAATCTTGTGTAACTTATATGTTAATACTGGTGACATATCATAAAATTGGATAATTCTGTCTTACCATCAAATCCTACTTGTCTGCATCCGAGAATTATGGGGAGATTTCATTCAAATCTTGTGTAACTTATATGTCAATACTGGTGACATATCATAAATTTGGATAAATGAGTCTTGAAATTTTCATATTATTCTGTGCTGTATTCTTGTCCAGTTGCATATTTTCACTTTCTGGGTAAAAAGTTATGAGATAATCCTGGTTACCTGGATATGAGCTCTTGCCAAAGAAGAAGGAATATTTATGAATGTATGATATATGATTCCTCTTATTCAAATCTAGTGTTTTTGTGTTGCTAAAATAAAATGCTTATGGGTGTGCCTTAACTTACAGATGAATTACTTGTAAAGTCTTTGTATCCTTGCTTGTTGTTTATGCTTCTTTGTTGGTTGAGAAATGTGCTTAATGCAATTACATTATGCTAGTATTTTTCTTACTCGATTGGCTGTCCTCATGTCATCCATGTTTGGGCTTCAAACATGTTTTACATTGGCTATTGATAGACTAAATCATCCTTTACTATGGGCTTGACACCAACTGTGAGCGACCACCTTCCAAAACCGCAGTTGTGGGATAGCAGTCATCCTGCGTTGACAGCTATTTTTATCCTTAAGTAGATTTAATGCCTAAAATTGAAATCATATTCTGATTAAGTTTTATGACCAAGTGGTCCAAAGTGATAGTTGCAAATCAACATATCACCATGTCAAAGTGGGAAAACAGCAAGAGGTTGGCTGAAAGGTTGAGGGGCAGAGGGTGGTTGGTCAGATGAAGGTATTGCTGCTGAACAGAAAAGAATTAAGAAAGAATGGTGCAGTTTTTATTGGAAGTTGCAGGTCAAGTTTGTAGCACAACTGGAAGTGTCACTGGAAACCTTATTGGAAACGCCGCCAGAAGTAGACACGGGAAGATGAGAGGGAGTTGAGAGGCAAAATGTGGGATAGAAAGGCTGATTTCCGAAAGATAGGGTTTGCAAATTGTGAGTTATAGGTTAAAGTCATGTTTATTGAAGTTGGACTGGACCAGTTGGAAACTGATCTATTGCTTCCTAAAAATCAATATATAATTGAATTGTTAAAACCTTGGTAAAACCTGCTGGGTTATTTGGTCACCCGGTTTAGACATTTTTCAAAGAAATTTTTTTTTTTAAATTTATTTTCAAGGATAACAATATTTTGTAGTGATATAACATTTTTCAATTTTTTTTGCTTCCTTTGTCTCATGCTGAGTGACATCAACATAGATAATAGTTGTTTCATTTATGTTTTCATCTTATTCTCATGACATTTAGGCTTTCACACTTCACTAAGTTTTGTGATTGTGACTTTCACTCTAACTTTGGGTGTTGTCAAATGATGACCTTCACTGTATCTTGTAGTTACTAACTTACTAATGGTCTTATTTTGTGCTTAATATATTATTATATTATTAAAAATATAAAAAAAAATTATTTTATTGAACCAGGTTTAATTGTAGTTGAATATTTAAATCTACCCATCATGCTTTCACCGATTCAGTGATCAATATGATATTTAAGAACATTGGTTAAAATAGAAAGTTTTCCTTTTACTTTTAACGAAATAAAACACAAACACCTAAATGTTTCCGTTTTCCAGTCAGGAATTCAGTCCTTTATGTTAATCATAAATTGCATCGGCAGACATCAGTGGTACTGCACAATCTGTTTTGATTGTGGGGGTGGCTTCTTTGCACCGACGCTAATGCTCACTATTGAATACTATGGACTGAAGATGGAGTTAGATTTTTGTTTTTAACTGAGTCTAATGGGGTTGTGTCGACCATGTAGCAACTTTAGCTAGTGGGATTAGGGTATTGTTGTTCATTAGTTGTGCTTGTGTCCCTAAGTATTTTTACTACATTGTGAAAGATGGTTAAAATAATTATTTCTTGTTTAATATCTTTATGCTATTCTAGATTAGCTTTTACTCATTGTTTGATTATAGTCAGACACATGTCTGTTTTGTTGATTGTTGATTTTCAGCTCTTGCAGAAGTTGGAAGAAACAACCTTAAGACTTCGATTGAAAGTTCACAGGTGATTACTTCTAATCTCATACATCCTCTTAAGGATTATTTCTTGACATTATTGAGTTGTAGCTCATTAATTTTCTATCTGCTCTGACATCATGTAACGAACTAATTCTCCAATATGCATTAGTTATTTGGTGAATTCTCATGAAAGGTTCTAAAATTAACACTTGTACTTTGGGGTGTTGTTTTCATTATCACAGGAGGCTGCTAAGAAGTCCCTGGAAAAAGCTACTGAGCGTGTGAGATGCCTTGAGGATGATTTAGCAAAGTCCAGGTAAGGTTGCAAATTTGTTATACATTATTTTCAAAAAATATGCTACTGAAAATCATATTTCTTTCTTTTTTAAAAAAACATGGTTGTTTTCAGTAATTCTGGATTTCTGGTAAATACTTCTACCCTGCTTTTTCTAATCTGCTATGTATTTATTTAATGCGTCTATTGGCTAAAATGAGATATTGTAATGTTCATCCTAATTGTATGCTACTGAATGTAACAGCATGTTAAAATGTAGCACAGTTTTATAAAGCTGCTCTATATAGTGTCTAGTCCATGACAGGGCTGCTTTACATTTTTATAATTTTTACTTTGCTTTCAAAGTATTTTAAATTCAGTTGTCAGAACTCTCAAAAGGTTTTGGTTTGCTTTGAGTTGTGTAACAATGATTATTTTCAGGTTATTTATTCTTAATCCTTTTAGCAATATATGTTTTTGCTTAGTCACAACTATAATTCCCTATATATTCTTCCATTCATATTATTTTCATTATATTTTAAAGTTATTATAACCAAGTAATGTTAAAGTTGATTGGAGAAATAATATATGGATAGGTAAATTTCTTACATACAGATACCTATGTCTAAATCTGAAATTGTGCCTTCAGGAGTGAGATTATAGTATTACGATCAGAGCGTGACAAGATGGCACTTGAAGCAAATTTTGCAAGAGAGAGACTTGATAGCTTTATGAAAGAATTGGAACATCAGGCATGTCCTTGTCTGTAATGTTAAGTGCATTTCTTGCATGTCTCTGTTGTACTAATTTATGGATTTTGGATGACATTTTAGAAAGCTGAAGCAAAAGGTGTCTTACAAAGAAATGTAGAGTTTTCTCAGCTTGTTGTTGAATACCAACGAAAGTTACGTGAAAGCTCTGAGTCATTGATTGCTGCTGAGGAGCTTTCTCGGAAACTTACTATGGAGGTTAATATTTTATTCAACTTAATTAATGAACTATTTAAAAATTTATGAACTTTTGAACTGAGATGTACCTTTGTTTTGTGGACTATTTGATGGCATCATTTCAGTTGTCAGTTTTAAAACAAGAAAAGGAAGTCATATCAAATGCTGAAAAAAGAGCTTCTAACGAGGTTTGCAGTTTGTCTGAAAGAGTGCAGCGTTTGCAGGTCAGCATTTTATTTTTTATTTTTTTATTTCTTAAATATGCATATTCTTACGCTTGGCTATTGCAGGCTAGTTTGGGTACTATACAGAGTACTGAGGAAGTTCGAGAGGTAGGTTACAGTCAACTCGTTTTACTTTCATGCTCCAATAAAACTTTCTATCTATCTATATGATCTTATTTATTTGTAAAATGTAGGAAGCAAGAGCTGCAGAGAGGGCTAAGCAAGAAGAATATATAAGGAAATTGGAGGTGTGTCTCTTGTTTCCTTACAGATACTTCATATCTTTAAAGAAGTGCATGTTTTTTTATTTTTGGGTATGTTTATCATAAATTCTCACTTTTCAGAGGGAATGGGCTGAGGCCAAGCAAGATTTAAATGAAGAGCGGGAAAATGTGAGAAGATTCACACTAGATCGGGACCAGACCATAAAAAATTCTCTGAGACAGGTTGAGGATATGAGCAAAGAGTTAGCCAATGCATTGCATGCGGTTGCATCTGCTGAATCCAGGGCTGCTGTTGCTGAGGTATGGGCCTTTGTCATCTCTCTTTTACACTTTATTCTTAAAGGCCTTCCTTCATAAATGGTAAAGATTAACTTCAAGTTCTATGCACAGGCAAAACTCTCCAGTCTTCACAGAAAATTGGGTTCCTCAGATGACAAGGTTTTGCTTCTTTGATTTATTTTGTTAATTTGTGAAGTGTGTTGCTGATGGTTTGTTTATGGTTTTACATTTCTTATCTTTTAGTGCGTAGAAATTTTCAATGAATATCACTTTTAACTTCCAAATGTAAACGTTTTTGGGAATTGTAAATTTTGAATGGTCCTATTTTTTAATTTTTTATTGATAGAAGAAATTTATTAGATGTGATAGAAATGAAGAATGAGTATTAATCTGGGAAAAGCAGGATAGAATTTAAGAAAACTTTTCAATTGAACAAATTGTCTACATGCCACTCTTTGATATATTCGTGATGTGTGATATAACTTTTGATATGTTAAATCTTTTGGCATTCGTTATAACGAAGTCCAATTTTAGTATGTTTGCTTTTCTGCAGTCACATTATTTATGCTCTTAATTCTAACTTATTGTATTATTGAATGTAGCTTGTCGAAATGGGTGGAGAGAGTGGACCTTCCACTTTATCAAGTGATAAGGTGGGCATAGTTTTTTATATATCAATTTCACCTTATTGGTAGGCATTTCTTGTGCAATATGTTATGAAAAATATGATTGAGATTGTTGAAGAGTACATAGTATTCAGCTTAGTAAACACTATCAGTAAATAGCAAGACCATGTGTGGGGACACTACAATGGTGATCGATATTTGCTAGAAAAAGAACCTAAACAATGTTATTAATTATATAACTAACAGCCTCAATAGCTACAATGTCACACTATCTCGAGTAGCTCAAACAAGTAGTGCAATAAATGATTTGTGTTTGCACCCCTACTTTCGTTTTTTGTTTCATTATTCTGCAATTAATAGAATTCTTAAAACTGTAGTTGTGATTGTGCTTGACAAATCTTCCCCCAACATAATCTAGGTTGTTGTTAGTGAATTGCAAAAGGCAAAGGAGGAGATAGAAAAGTTTAAAGAGGAAGCACATGCCAACAAAGTTCACATGCTGCAGGTTATTTTTATTTTTTGTAACAAATTATATTTAATTTTCAATTAAACTAACTATCTGTGTTCAAATTTTACACTGAAGTATAAAAGCATTGCTGAGGTAAATGAAGATGCACTGAAACAGATAGAAATGGCACATGAGAAGTTTAAAACTGAGGTAGTTTACGATATTAAATCTTGAATTTTTTCCTGTCAATGTGCTATTGTACTTAGTGTAAATTCTCTGTCTTCCTCATAACAAAATAGGCTGAAGAAACAAAGAAAGTTCTAGAATCTGAACTTCATTCACTCAGAGAGAAGATGTTAGAGATTGAAAATGAATCTAGTTTGAAATACAAAGAAGTTGCTTCTGAAACTGTGGGAAAGGAAGAAGCTCTTACATCGGCTATGGCTGAAATCACAAATCTTAAAGAAGAAATTTTAACGAAATCGTAAGTTGTATCATAACACAGCCGTGTTAGTTTAGTGCTACTTTGGTTTCATATCCCTTATATTTTGCTGTGTGTAGTTCCCAAATTTCAGCATTGGAGATTCAATTATCGGGTTTAAAGGAAAACCTCGATAGGGAGCATCAGAAATGGCGTGCTGCTCAAACCAATTATGAAAGACAGGTACATGAAATATGTTTACTTGATTAAATTAGTTGCATGATGATTATGCTAGAATTTTTTAATTTTGAGCTATCTAATTGCACGATTCTAGGTTCACTGATATTGCAATATTTTTTTGTTATCTTTAATGTTAATTGATTATTAGTTGTTTTGGTTGAAAATAAATACATAGTAATAAGTAAAAAGAATATAAATGTATATTTTATATATATATATATATATATATATATATATATATATATATATATATATATATATATGAGAGAGAGAGAGAGAGAGAGAGAGAGAGAGAGAGAGAGGGAAATAGATGTCTATGCAGCAGTTTTTGCCCTTTCATTTTTGGGATTGCCCATTTCCTCCCGTGTTCTCTTCTATTATTTTGTGTTTTTTGAACATATCTATTGAGATATGTTGTTCATGTATCATTTTGTATGTTCCTTAGGCTAGGATTAAGGGTTTGGGCTGAGCTCCATATCCTCTCTATTGTATCTTCTTTTTCTATAAATACAATGTATTAGTGGCATTGTATCAAATCCTAAATAAGTTTTCTCAAGTTGGTATCATAGCATGTAAAATCCCGCACTGATCTCCAGTCACCTCTATCATCTCTGACCACCGTGGGTTGTTGTTCGCCGTCGTCACCACCAGCTACCGTCTTTGTTTGGACCAACGAAGAAGGGGTTTTGTGCGCCTCGAGGAGCGTGACCCACCCCTGCAAGTTGCTTCTCCATCACGTGCAACCGTCCCGAAGAGCCTTTTCGGGCGCATGTGTCCCACGCACCGCCTTCTAGTGGCCAGAATTAAGGTTAACCACCTCCGTTCGACTCGCTGGTGTTCTCCGAGTCTAGTGGTGCCATTAGTTTTCTATTTTGAGAAATGGGTATGAAAGATCCCATGGGTAACCCTATTCGTTGGCTTTATTTGTCTTTTCTGGTTCAGATGGCCTCATCTACTGCTTTCACCTTCTCTACTACTCCTACCATAACTAGTGTCAGACTCAATTGGAAAAATTACTTATCCTGGTCTTAGTGGCATCACGACCATTTGGAGAAGGATGTAGACTTTATTTCCGTTGCAGAAAGGTCTCAGTGGGAGAAAATAGACTTCCATCTTTGTGCAATCTTAAGGGCAGTCTATGAAAAAATCACGATATGATGACTCACATTGCAAAAGCTAGGACTGCTGTGGAAGAATTAAAAAGGTTTCTTGTAGCAAATACCTTAGAGGAGTTAAACTTTAAACTCGATAAGCTATATATGGTTCTAATTTTGAGGAGTGTGCATTTTGATTTTGATCACGTGCTTGATCAAATCCTAGCTGGTGGTCAGGTTCCATCAATGGATAATCTTGTCACTAGATTGATTCAGGTTCCTAATCTTATAGTAGATGAGAATCAGGTGGAGACAGTTGAAACTTTTGCTATGGTTGCTCCTCGTAGTCAAGGGGGAGGACATGGTAGTGTTATTCTTTGCATGGTTTTCCTGACAAGACTGCCTATGCATCTAAATCTAAGAAGCCAGATATGGAGATTTTTGATGAGGAGTATCAAGAGTTTTTGAAGTTCAAATCTTGAAAGTTTAGTTGTCAAGGTTGATCTTCTTCAATGCCAAGTGTTTCAACTGCATGCATTTCTCAAACTGTGGAAGGCCAGGACCAATGGATTCTTGATTCAGGTACCTCTGATCATATATCTGGTAATAGTTCCTCGTTTTCCTTCATGTCCTATCCCAAAATTTTTCACTTAATCACTGTAGCTAATGGATCCAAAGTGAAATCTCAAGGAGTTGGCCAAGTTCCTTTAATCCCATCTCTAAATTTAAATTTTGTTCTTTTCATTCCTAATTGCCTTTATAACTTGATCTCTCTAAGTCAACTTACTCATTCTTTGAATTGTTCTGTAATCTTTACTTCCAATTCTTTTGTTATTCAGAAACATGGTACGGGTTGTCTGATTGGAGAAAGACAAGAATCACGTCGTCTGTATTATCTAAAACCAAGTCCTTCGATGTCTTGTCTGGTTTTTGCTGCCCTTAAACTTTTGCATGATCGTCTGGGTTACCCAAGTCTATCTAAGTTGAAAGTGATGACTCCTAATTTTCAATATCTTTGGGTTTTAGATTGTGAATCTTGTCAATTAGAAAAACATATTAGGTCTACTTTTCCTAATCAGTCCAAAATTCGATGTAAGTTTCCTTTTTCAAACATTCATTATGATGTTTGAGAACCGAGTTATGTTTCCTCTTTTGCTTTTGGTATTTTGTGACCTTTATTGATGAATTTTTCAAATGTACTTGGGTTTATTTAATGAAAGATAGATCTGAACTTTTATCTATTTTTGTGTCCTTTTTCAATGAAATTAAAAATCAATTTGGGAAGATAATTAAAGTTTTCATAAGTGATAATACCAAAGAATATATCTTTGCCTCCTTCTCTTTTTTATCTTCCCAAGGAATTTTACATCAATAAACTTATTTTACAGCAAAATGACATTACAGAAAGGAAATATAGACACCTTATTGAGACTGTACGCTCTCTAATGTTGAATGCTAATGTCCCTGTTCATCATTAGGGAGATGCAGTTCTCACTGCTTGGTTTTTGATTAATCAGATGCTATCTTCCTAGATTATCCTCTTTTCCATGTATATCCTTGTGTATTTGGTTGTGCTTTTTTGTTCATAATGTGTCTCAAGGTCTTGATAAAATAAGTGCTAAGGCCATTAAATGTGTTTTCTTGGGGTACTCTTGCCTTCAGAAAGGGTATAAATGTTATTCTCTATCCTTCAAAAGGTATTATATGTCTGTTGATGTCACCTTCTTTGAGGAAACACCCTTCTTTTCTTCCTCCATGGAAGATGGTTCATCCATTCAACAAGTTCTGTCTATACCTTCATGTGATCCACTTATAATACCTGATCCTTCCCCAATTAAGTCTACACGTCATAATGATACTCCTCCTTTTCTCACATATCATTGCAAGACCCCTCCTACACCTTTATCAGTTTCTACAGATAATTGTGATTCAGATCCGTCTCCATCAACTTCTCGTACCATGGATCCTTCAACCTTATCTCCCACTTCTGATTCTGGCTGACCTATTACATTAGAAAAGGTACTCGTTCCACTCGAAAGTTACTATCGTTTGTCTCTTTCATATTCTTCTTTTGTTGTCTCTTTAGCTAATACGTTTATTCCTAATAATGTTCATGAGACACTTGATCACCCTAGATGACTACAAGCCATGATTGATAAAATGCCATTAAATTTGATAATAATGGTAAAGTGGATTGTCTTAAAGCTCGTTTAGTAGCTGAAGGCTTCACTCAAATTTATGGTCTTGACTACTGTGATACCTTCTCTCCAATAGATAAGATTTTCACTATTCGTCTGTTCCTTACTATGACTGCTATTCGTCATTGGCTCTTTATATTTTTAAGGAGACTGGTCTAATAAATTGTAAGCCCATTGATACCCCAACGGACGTTAACCAAAAATTGATGAAGGATGAAGGAGAAAAGTTGTTAGATCAAGAAAGATATAGGAGATTGGTTAGTAAATTCATTTATCTTACTATTATTAGACCAAATCTTTCTTATGCAGTTGGAGTAGTTAGCTAATTCATGCAAAATCCTTTTGTTGATTACTAGGATGCCTTGATTCGTATTCTGAGATATGTTAAAGGGGCCCAGGACGAGGATTGTTATATGAAGATAAAGGTAATACTCAAATTCTAGGTTATTGTGATGCAGACTGGGCTGGTTGTCCCATTGATAGAAGATTGACTACTGGGTATTATATCTTTATTGGGGGAAATTTGGTTTCTTGGAAGAATAAAAAACAAAGTGTTGTTGCTTGATCTAGTACAGAAGTTGAGTATAGATCTATGACACTTGCTACATGTGAACTTGTGTGGATCAAACAACTCCTTCAATATTTAAAATTCTTTGATAATGGGCAGATGAAGCTATTTTGTGATAATAAGGCAGCTCTCCATATTGCCTCCAACCTAGTCTTTCATGAAAGAACAAAGCATATTGAATTGATTGTCATTTTGTTAGAAAGAGAAATTGTTGTCTAAGAAACTTGTAACTGAATTTATAAGCTCCAATGAGAAACTGGCAGATATTTTAACTAAATTCTTAAGAGGACCTAAAATTCAATTCATTTGTTCCAAGCTTGGTGCATACAATATATATGCTCCAACTTGAGGGGGAGTGTTGAGATTTGTTGTTCATGTATCTTTTTGTATGTTCCTTAGACTAGGGTTAAGTGTTTGGACTGATACTCATATCCTCTTTATTGTATCTCTTTTTTCTATAAATACAATGTATCAGTGCATTTGGTCACTATATCAAACCCTAAATAAGTTTTCTCAAGTTTTTAAGGTTCCAACATAAAACCAATTGACAATATGTGGAGTAGTCTAACAAATATTTAAACCATACCAAATGACATGAGATAGGCGATGTGAGACTCCCAACATGCTCCCTCCAATGAAGCCTGCCGGACCAGGCAAAGGGTATTTTTGACCCACGAAAGGGCAATTTTTTGGTCCAAGACGATAAGCAGAAGAGTTAGACTTTGATTCTGATACCATGTTAAGGTTCCAACATAAAACCAATTGGTAATATGTGGAGTAGCCTAAGAAGTATTTTAACCAATACCAAATGACATGAGACAGACGATGTTCCAGTCTTCCCTTTTATTGTTTTGTGTTTGTTGAACATATCCTTGGACCTTTTGTCTTCCTATAAACTTTTTTTTCTCAACTAATTATTTTTCAGTCAAATAAAATAATAAAATATGGAAGTGTAAGTAATATGCTGAAATCCGTTCTTTATTGTCAAATTTGCTAATCTTTGACATTGCATTCCAATGCTTATTATGATTTCTGGGCATTGGTTTTAATCTGATATGTTTCTTGTTTTTCAGGTTGTTCTGCAGTCTGAAACGATTCAGGAGTTGACGAAAACATCTGAAGCACTAGCCTTGCTGCAGGAGGAGGCCTCTGAGTTACGGAAACTAACCAATACTCAGAAAATTGAAAATGTAAAATATTTCCTATTCAATCCATGATATAATTGTGTTTCTTTTTCAACACTTTATATTCAATCCATACAGATATGATAATATTTTGGAATTAGGGGAAAAATTACTGAAAACAAGAATTTGACAAAGAAATTGTATACCTCAGGTCATGGAGGTTGGTGTTGCTGTGATATATTGTCGAAGTCATACAATTTAAGATATTGAGGGGGGGGTGGGATGACTCAAATAAATAAATAAGTACTAAATTGATATTGTTAAATTTTCGATGATTGAGGTCACCCCTAGCCTACTTTAGGTGTGGCCTCTGTAGGGTCTGTCGTACTGACAGACTTGACTTTTCAATTACACTCAAACACATTGATAGATGGTATTAGAGTTCATCATTGATCTAATTTGGCTAGTTATATTTGCTGTGCTTTAGGCTAGTAAATAAGAGTGTGAAGAGGAGTGCTGGATAAGCTGACATAATTGCTGTCACCCCAAGCTTGCCTTAGTTGTGCTTCTTTGGGGGACTGCATTAATTGTAGCTCTTAGAAAGTGGATATGGACTTTACACAACCCTGCAAAACTAGCTTGTAAAGTGAGGCTTACACTTCACTTGCATTATATAGTTTTTTAGTCATATTCTAGTCGATATAAGATTTTAAGACACTCCCCCGTACGATAGTCCCAACAAACATAGCTAGAATAAGCTTTGATACCATCTTATGAAGTGAATATGAGACTAACTCGACCATATAAAACTGGTTTGTAAGATGAGGTTTGCACCTCACTTATATATTTTAGTCGTACCTCTTATTGATGTGTGGTTGTAGTCACAAGTCATTTGGAGATATAACTTGAATAGATAAAGCTTGGGAAGTCCGCACATAATGAATTGGTTTTGTTCGGTTGCATAAATCCTATGCCCAAATTCTATGCAATATTAACTCCTAATATTAGCTAATTAGGATAATAAATCATGATAGTAGATATCTAAACATGCCTAAATAAGAATACAACATAATTCAGGACTTCTTGGTATCACGGGGAAAGATACTAAAAACAGAACAATTTCATATCTTTACGAACATGATAACGAAATTGTAAAACATGGGTTATGGAGAATTGTGTCTCTATGATACTTTGCTGAATTGATTTAGTTTTGATATTGAGAGAGAAAGATTATTCTAATAAAAAAAGCTGAATTGATGGAGTTGGAAAGTTGTCTTAATTGCAGTCGCTACTTGTATCTCGCCTATTTGTATTCTTTTGGGGCCTGCCTTTATTACAACCATAGGGGTTTAGTTCTAAATCGACTTGATAAGATTTGAATAGAGCATTTGAAGCTTGGTTAGTGTTCACCATACATACAACCCAATTTTTTGTTGTTTAATTAGGTCCTAAGCCCAAATTCTAATATGATGATAGATCCTAGGCATGAAGGGGAATGTTGGAAAGACGCCTTAGTTGCTCCTTGACATTTATCCCCTTCAATGTCGATTACTTGCTAATTTGCCTGTTCTCCCTTGTTCTTTATGTATACTTTTGGCTTTGTACCAATTGTTTTGTCTTGTGTAATTTTTTATAGGTTGCTTTTCATATTTTGATATAAATTTTGCTTTACTATTCCTGTGTTGCACAGAATGAACTGAAGGCTAGGTGGGAAGATGAGAAGGCACAACTAGAGAAGTCTAGGAATGATGCTGAAAAGAAATACAATGAAATCAATGAACAGGTGATTGAGAATATGTCTGGAATATTTTGTGCTTCAGTACAAAAGTAAACTGTTGATCATATATCATTGATGCTTTTTTCCGTACTGTCAAATTATTTTGGTCTCTAATTTTGATTCATCTGGAAAATGGTTTATTAATATTATGTTAATATGCAACTGGTATAGATATTGGACATTGTTGCTCCTTTTATGTCTTTTCCTTTATGAAGGATGCCTTTTGAATTTGTTGATTTCCCTTGACTTAATTTTACTTGTTTAAATCTGTTCAATTGCATTTGTTTCAGTGAAGAATATATATATATAATATTTGTTCCATTTGCCATGGTGGGAAATGCATTAAGGTTTTTATTGCGTAGAAGTCTGAACCCATATGACTTCATGTTTGTTGGCAGTGATATCTTATATTGTACGTACTAGATGCTATCATTCTCACCTATGTTTTCTACATTTTTCAGAATAAAATATTACATAGCCAACTTGAGGCTTTTCATATTCAATGGGCTGAGAAGGAGCGAAATGCTGCTGGTATTTCATCTGGAAGTAGTAGTGCAGATGCCTTTGGTGATGCTGGCCTTCAAAATGTGATTAATTATCTCAGACGATCAAAAGAAATTGTAAATATATGTGCCTTGCTGAATACTTTTATATTTGTTTTTTCATTCCCTGGTTATCTAATAATGTTTTTGTACTTTTACAGGCAGAAACAGAAGTTTCGTTGTTAAAACAAGAGAAGCTGCGGTTACAGTCACAGGTAAAATTATACTTATTTCTCATGTTTCATACATGTGTGGGGTCATCAGGCTTATTTGAGTAAGTACTCATCTACCTTCATATTACAAGATTAAAGACAAATTCTTCATCAAGTAATCTAATTAATATTTAAACTATTGTCATATTCATGTTACTGGTTATCACCTAATATATTACTCAAAATTGCATTAGTTGTTTAACACAAACAATACCTTCTACCTTTCAATCTTCGTGTACTGCTTTTGTTATACAAAATTAATTCTTATAATAATATTACTATTTGTGGTTTATGGCTCTAGCATTTGAAAGTCAATTGGATATAAAATACAACCTTTTTATTATTTGTGTTTAGGAATGATTGTGTGTGAAGTCATCATAATAAACCTGATTTTGAAGGTCCCCTTATGAATTTATATTTTGTCTATATGGTTTATTTGTAGCTTGAGAGTGCTTTGAAGGAAGCAGAGTCTGCACATGCATCTCTAGAATCTGAGCGTGCAAAATCTAGATCATTTTTGTTTACTGAAGAAGAGTTCAAATCGTTGCAGCTTCAGGTTGAGAATCCTACTATCAAATCCACTCTTCTATATTATCTTTGGCTTTTTTTATATGACATAATAAGTTAATATATTTTTCAACTAAAGTGTTTCCTAATGGTGTTATTGTTCAATACAATAATTTGCTGACTTTTAAAAATCATTTTGCAGGTCAGAGAAATGAATTTACTTCGTGAGAGTAACATGCAGCTCAGGGAAGAAAATAAACACAATTTTGAGGAGTGTCAGGTATACCGCAATGTCAATTACATTGTTCCATTTTGTTACTCAACACATGAAGTTCATAAAACTTTGCTTTCTGATATGCTGGGAAAAAATATTTTTTTGTGGTTTGTCATAATAGCAAGAAGGGAGTTTATGTTGGTTGAAATATTATTTGGTAACATCTATCGAATTTGTGCAGTGTTTTCCTGTTACTGATGCATGCAGCTTTCTTGGTTTCGTAGAAATTGCGTGAACTAGCACAAAAGGCTAGAGCCGAGGCAGATAACCTTGAGAAGGTCCTGAGGGAAAGAGAAATTGAGCTTGAAGGCCATAAGAAAGAAATTGAAACGCTAAAAATGGAAAAAGATAATCTCAACAACAAGGTTTTGGAGGTAGTTTCATTTGAAACATTGAAAAAAAATACCGTCTTTGTTCTACAGTGTATTTTAAATTTATTTGTTTATTTTTTCTCTTCAGTTGCTTGAAAGGAGTAAAAATGTTGATGTTGAGGATTATGATCGAGTGAAGAAACTTGCTAGAGAAATTCAGGTTGTTATATAAGCATAAAATGTTCAGTTATATCAGTATTCTGGCATCTCTCAACCTTGCAGTTGTCTAGCACGTTTGATTATTGTTACGTTTATGGTGTTCCTTTTCTAATACATGAACCCTGTTATCTAAAGTTGGCGTTTTTATTAATTTGAGATAACTGGGTATCAATCTTGATCTGCCTATTTTAAAGCTACAATGATCGCTATTCTAAATAAACTCAGGCAATTCATTTTGAAGATCTATGCTAGTATTAGATTCAAATTGTTCTTCAGGACATCTACATCTCTTCCTTTGCCTACATTTTTTTTTTCTCAATTAAGCTCAAGAGAAGAATGAATCAAACTATAGTTTGTTTTGTCGATCATTTTTTCTTTTCTAAAATGCAATTTTTTGTATAGCTATTTTGATTGCTCAACAGCATATAGAAGAAAACATGTAATTCCCAAAATTATGACTATTTTTGGAGTACCGATGGGGCTAAATATCAGATATAGAAGTTTTGAAATTATCAAGAAACTTCTAGTTATTTTTTTTTTTCCGATTTGAAGTGAGATATCATTATCTTTATATTTTATCTTCAGGATAAACTAAGAGATAGGGATGCTCGGATTGATGAAATGAGTAAAAGTCTATCAGAGAAGCAGGATTCTGTTTCCCGTCTAGAGAAAGATCTTGCAAACTGTCGATTGGAGCTTGTAGAGAGAGAAAAGAGAATTAATGACATTCTGCATAATGAGGTCATTGAGATATTCTCTATGTATGATGTTTGGATAAATATTTTCTTTATTAATATTTGTCTTATGATTTAACCAGGCTAACTTAAAACTTGAATCAGAGAAGTATAGGAAACTGCTGACTCAGTTTAAGGTGCACGCAAGTTCTTATTTTAAAATGTGGATAGAGTTCTCTTTGGATAACTTTATATTCCAATTTTTATATATTTTTACGTTCCTTTTTTCTTTTTTTGCCATCCTTTTCCAGAAGAGAATTGATGTTTTGTTAAGGGAAAAGGAAGACATCAGTAAAGAGAACCAGCAACTTTCTAGGCAATTAGACGAAATTAAACAAGGTAATAATCTTATTTTCCCCATTTCTCTTTCCTAGCTGTTTGTGTTTTTATATGTTTCTAATCTGCTATAGCTATTGGAATTTATTTTGTTAAATTCATGGCATATGTTAGGGAAAAGGTCAACATGTGATACAACTGGTGAGCAAGCGATGAAGGAAGAAAAGGACACAAGAATACAGGTTTATTTGAAACAGTAGTTTTGCTTTTCCCCACTGCTTTAGTTTTATCTTTCGGGATGTGCAACCGACTTTGTCTTGCTTTTACCATTTTTTTTTTGTGTGCTAGATTTTGGAAAAACATCTAGAGAGACTTAGAGATGAATTAAAGAAGGAGAAGGAAGAATGTCGCCTAGAGAGAGGTAGACGATTGAAGACTGAAAAGGCTATAAAGGACTCTTACAACAACGTTGAGCAGGTTCCTCCACCAATCGTCCTGTGTCTTGTATCTTTCAGTAATTTGTTTGCTTTAATTTCTTGTATCTATTAAAATATGCTCATAGAAATGAAAAATTTACATCCTCACTTTATGACCTGCTCTTAAAATGTGGAATTAGGTCTAACTTAGCTTTATAAAATTGGCCTGTAAGATGAAATTGATACCCGCTTTATATACTCAATTTTAACCATATCCTCAAACGATTGAGGAGTTTTCTGTTAAGTTCTGTATAATTTGTACATCTGAATAATACGTACACACATGCATACATACAGGAATATATATTTCTGGCTCACTTTTACTGATAATGCACCGATATTACTTTCTTTGTGTAAATGTTAGTAATTTTAATTTTCTATAATTTCTTGTCCAGTTCTTCAACCATAAGATATATATACTTTCTTCACACTTTTTTTATTGATTTATTTACTTTCAGGAGAAAATAAAATTTGTTAATGAAATTGAGAAGCATAAGGAGTCTCTGAAAAAGTTATCTGATGAGGTAGAAAAGCTTAAGATTGTTATTGGCAATCTTCCTGAGGTAATGATTTAAAACAGTGGTTTATTGTGAAATCTAACTGATGTTGAAAAGATAGACATGGTTTAGCCTTCGGGGATTATTTTTATTTTTATGATTATTTTCTGATCCCTCATTACTTGATTTATTTGAGTCAATTGTTTTTAAGCAAAACTTTTATTCTCTTCTTTGTGTTTTATTTATTAGGGTTCAAATGTGGTTCAACTTCTTTCTGGATCCAATGTTGATGACTTTGCTGCTTCTTACATATCTGCCGTGGAAAATTTTGAAAAGGAAGCTCATTCAATATTTCGTGAGCTTGGAGGTCGTGGCAATCTTGGAGATGCAGCTACAATTACAGATGGTTCAACAGCTGCTACAGGTTATTTCATTTATACTGTTGTGCAGATCAAGTTTTTTTAATGTTGATTTTAGACATAATTCAGTTTGCAATAATTAATCATTTTGACTCTCTACATGATGAATCGACTATAACATGGCAGGTTCTCTTGGCCAAGTTCAATCCCAAAGCATCACACCTCTGGCTGCACCTGGAGCTAGCAGTTTACCACCTAAAGCGACTGGAGAAAGTGAGAAAAGACTGGCAGTACCTGTACCCAAAGCTAGTGTTGAAACACGTCGAACAGGTAGAAAATTGGTCAGGCCTAGACTCGTAAGACCTGATGAGCCTCAAGGTGACACAGAAATGTCTGATGCTGAAGGACCAGGGGGCAAGCCTGGGCCTTCTAGTGACACAGAGACAAGTAATTTTGCCCAATCATCTCAACCATTGGCTCGTAAGCGTGTTGCTCCGACCTCCACTTCAGAATTACGTGAAGAATCAGTTGCACCTGGTGAGAAGAGCTCTGATGTAGTAGCACCTGTGTTGAAGAAGTCAAAAGGATCGGAGTCCCCAGAAGAGAGTACAGAAGAACAACCTGCTGCAACTCTGGAATTTCCTGGCAGTCACCCAGCAACTGAAGAATTATTTGATAGCAGTGAGTTGCCACAAGGCCAAAATGAGGAAGGTGAAGCCCAAAATGAAGATGGTGAAATTACTGTTGGGAATGACGAGGAAGCAAAAGATCCACAACACTTGGATGGTACGAGTGAAGAGGAATTACAAGGTGACAAAGCTGGAATTTTAGAAGAGAATCCGGATCAACCTGATGAGATGCAGAGGGATCATACTGACCCAGACAACCAACAGTCAACATTGGCACCCAGTAATGAGAGAGAAGAGGGAGAATTGTTGCCAGATACTGGAGATCTTGAGGGTGGTAGTGACTTGTCTAACGTTGTGGAAAATCAAGAATCTCGGGAAGGTCCATCTGAGTCTGCCGCAACCCCTGAACGTTCCCCGGCCAGGGGGGATTATGATGCTCTAGAGGCTGGCGAGATTAATTCTCCCGAGCTTTCAAGTGATGATAAGAATGATGAGATTGACTTGGTGGAGGAGGCTGCTGATGGTTCCGACAAGTTACTTGATGTTAATGAGCCAATATCAGTGGAGAGTGATCAGGTAGCTGACCCTACACCAGTTGTGAGTGATGGTGGTGCTACTTTGACAAGTAGTGTTACAGAAAGTAGCTCGTCTAAGGTGAACTTACCTGTTCCAAGGCAAGGGACCCCCAGTGTCCCATCTGAAACAGAAGAGACCGTAAAGCAGGCATCACCTATTGGTAGTACTTCAACTACCATAAATTTGTCAGAGCGAGCACGGGAAAGGGCTCAAATGAGACAGGCTGGGTTGGTTTCTACCCCTACCGTTACTAGAGGTCGTGGAAGAAGTGCTCCCCGAGGTCGGGCTCGCGGACGGGCAGTAGTACGCCGGCCACCTCCATCTTCTGGTGGTGACCCATGAACAACAAATTCACTGTCTGAGATTGACGTGTTTATTGAAGTTATTTGACTTGGGGTTTTAAACTACTCCCTTAGGCTGACAATTTTTTTCAAGACCACTTAGGAGGTCTAAATGGGCATATGTTCTCGTCATGTAAATACAATTTTGCTTTTTACTGTTTTCTCCTTCTGTCTAATAATTTTGTTTAACGATCACTTCAAAAGGCGTTCTCATGTTAGAAAAAAGAATAATAATGGTGTTAACCTCAACTAATTTCATATAATCGTGAATGGGCATGGGAGTCAAATGTCAAAGATATATCATAGGGGTGTTAAAAGTAAGCTAAATTGGTTCGCAGCAAAGTTGAAAATAAGTGAATTTAATCTGGTTTATTTATTTTATGATGAGTTTTTACAATTTTAGTTACTGTAAGTAATGATGTGGTGACACAATAAATTTTGTAATGAATGTGGTGATGTAATGAATGTGGTGATTAGAGACTGAAACGTTGTAGTGATGATATGATAAAAGTTATGGTGAACTGAAATACGATAATCATTATAATTTTGAGAGAGAATTTAATTTGTAATGATGACATAGAATGAGATAAAAAAAAGTATAAATATTACTAAATTATTATTAATTATTTTTAATATTTAAAATAAATGGTAGATTATGAGTTAAATATAATCTAGCTTTGTTTAGTGTGAGTTAAGTCGAGTTTATTTTTAACTAATTATTGATAAAAATGAAAAAAATTGAATCCAATCCCAGTCGTGATGAACGAGATTGGCTAACAGGTTGATAAGTCCGTCATCTATATACCAAATTATTATGTCTAAACATTTTCCTAATAAATTTATATTTGAACGAATTAAAATAATGTTCGATTTATGTAGCTTTTCAAAAGATAATAATACATAACGTTGAAAGTTCAATTTTTTATACAAATTTATAATTTCTTTATATATATATAGAAATTAGATTTACCCGAGTTGCAACCAAAAATATTTTATATGTAGTTTTAAACCTTTAGATATTTATACTTCATTTATGTTTTTTATTAATTTGAGTTGGTTTATGGTATATAGTTTCATTTCATTTTATCTCATGCTAACTGATCAGATGTCATGTTTTTAATGTTTAACTCACGTCTCTTCTGGGTGTTAGTTCTTGAAAATAAATTAGGGTTAAGATTTTGAATTGAGTTTATATTTTTTTCTTTTGTATTGCTTTTTTATAAATACAATACTGATATTTGTCTTTAGACATTACATTTCTGAAGTTAGTATTAGAGCGGATTAGATCTCCTACTATTCTTGTTACTCATGTTATATCAGTTGTTTTCATTATTGCAAGTTTGACCCACAATTTTTCACTTATATTTCTTTTTCTTTTTCTTTTTTCTATTTTCAGATTTTTATCATTCTTTTTTCATTTTCTTAATATAACTTTTCTTTATCATACATTTATTTTTTATTTTTACATTTTTATCTTTGATTTTTATCACTTTTTAACTCTCATATTTCTTCTTTTCACGATTTCACTTTACAACATAAAAATTTATATATTTTTTCTTTAATTTTTAAAATTATCTTTTTTTATAATTTCATCTTTATAACATAAAAATTATATTTTTTTCTATAATTTTTTTGTCTTCTATAAACATGTTCTTTCTTTTATAATTTCATCTCTATAACATAAAAATTATATTTATTTTTTATTCTTTAGTTTATTTTCTGCATTTGCATAAAGTAAAAAATTAAAAAGATATCTCACAATAATTTTGCAATAAATAAATTTATTTTTTATATTATTTTTATTATTATAACAATTAGCATATAATATAAAAATATAAAATATGGATATAAATTTTTTTATTTGTTATAAATTATTTAATTATTTTAATATTTTATAATATTTTATTTTGATGTTAAAATATGAAAAAAAAATCTATTTATATTTTAAAGCTATCTAAAAATTAAATTATACACTATTTAAAAAAAAAGATGAAATAAATATTGTTTTATAAATTTTAAATTTAATTAATAATATTAAATATATAATATATTGATTTTTATATAATAATTAAGTATTATACGTTAATTCCCTGTTTCGTTCTTGACTATAATTTAAATGGACAGGATCACAAAATTTTGACCCACTCTAACCTTTCTTTTCATATTTTTGGGACCAATTCATTGAATTAAATATATTTTGACAATTTTTCTCATGCTCCTACAAATTCAATAGGATTGAATTCAATCAAAGTGTATCAAACTTTTTCATATAAGAGTGTTGATCATCTAAATAAACCAATAATGAACTGAATATTTTACGATGAAGCGCGCTCCAACTCCTTGCCACCCATGCTTCTTTATTTATGCCCTTGCTTATGACTTGGTGCCAAAAGTTTTAGGATCATCCCTTAACGAATGTGCCTTAGCTTGTTTTCCTTACACTCAAATGAACCTAGTCTGACAGTACAAATAAATACTACTATTATACAATTACAAGCAAAAGCAAACAAACAAGTGACAAGTTCATACAGTGTAAAAATAAAATAGGAACATAAAGACATAATTTGATGAATAATTTTTTTTTCTATTGTTCTAATTCTTCCAGTATCTTCTTGTTTTTTTTTTTTTTTTTCTTCATTCTCATCCATTCATTCATCAATACTATAGTCTCTATAATTATATCTTTGTTCTTATCATTGTTATATGATACACCTCTTTTTCCTCTTAAAGGAAAATCATATTAAAATAGTAATAAGATTAAGATGATCTAAAACCTTATTATAATCTTATGAAAACTCAATGAGGTTTGAATATTAAAAATATTTTGTTTGGATAAATAAATTTTAATTTCTTCATTTTTTATTTTTGAGTTTTGATTGGATATATCAATTTATCTACACGCAAAATTTGTTTTTAAATGGAGGAAGAGAAGAATATGAAAAGAAAAAAGGACATAGAAAAGAATTAAGAGGTGTGAAAAAAAAGTCAAAGAAGAAAGAAAATGAGTTAAAAAAAAAAGAAAAAAAAGAAAGAGACATAAAAGTGAGAATACAAAGAATTTAAATTTTTAATTCTTGTAGAATTTAAAATTTATCTATTTTAAGGAATTAAATTTTCTTTACAAATGTTTAGAGTTTCAATTTTTTTCCAACTTTTTTATATATATATATATATATATATATATATATATTTCACCATAATAGAATTATTTACTCTTTTAAAAACTATCTCTAAATATAAGCCTAGGGTAAGATTGGTTCCATCGAGAAAAAGAAAAAAGAAAAAGAAGAGTATAACTGTCGGTTTGGGTTGGCTCCAATAATAACTAAAAAAAATTAAATTAAAGAAAAATAATCTTGAAAATTTTTCAACATGAATCATAATCATATTATTACAATAATAACAAGAATATGTTCTAAATATCACAATCATTATATTTATCCAATAAAGTTAAATAAATATAATATATTAACATTTACACTAAATACATATATTTTGAATCTTTTTTAAAAGAACGACAAAAAAGTATTGTAAATAAAAATACTATAATAATAATCGTAACACTCCTTCGCAATGGTTAGGTGATTAGTTGGATCTCCATCACTTGCTTTACTTCTTTTTTCAACTATTTTTTCCTCACTATTCCATTTTATAACAATTAGTTATTTTTTAAATTAGACATATTAATTATAAGTGATAAAAAAATACAATTAATCAATTATCATAAAATTTACAATATGATACATAAAAATAATAAAATAAAATAACAAACAAATTAGAAAAAATGATACTAAATATTAATAAAATCAATGTACACTTATTTATGAAATGATAATAAAATAAAGAATTAATCTTATGAAATGATAATACATTTATTTGTTAGCAAAGAAAACAGAGTTTGAGAGTTAAGTCAAATAGCTTATAAGTTACATTATTAATCAATTAAAAGCTATTATGAATGTAATATTGAAATAATTCTTCTAAAATCAATTTATATAAACTAATGATTGCAAAACAATCCAAAAGAAATCTTCACACAATAAAAATATAACCTTGGATGTACAACTTTTTGTTTTGAATTCTTTATTGTGTAAAGAGAGATGAAGAATGAATTTGATGAGAAACAATTAGCGCACTCCACTAGCAGGTATTGAAAATTCAAAGAATGGTGAGAGAGTTCCAAGTCCAATAATTTGTCACATGGAACGCATCATTATTGTCAACACATTATTATTGGTGAGAAGTCCCAATCATGCCATTTGTTATGTTGCTAAAATCGGTAACTACAACTAGAAGGAATAAAATGTGAAAATACCAAGAACAAGGAAGGAACCAAACTCAGCTTATTATGTGCAAACAAAGATAAAAAGAGTAACTTTTCAAAGCACCCTGTAACAACACCTATACCACCGGGTCCATCATCTTCCAAGACTTTCTTCCTTTGTAGTTTTGTACAATTAGGAATGCAGCCACCATTTGCCCGGACAAAAATTATTTTTTTTTTCTTCTCTTTTTATTTTTCTTTCTAAAACATCATCAGCAAGAACAACACTTCTGTTTAGAATTTGAAATTTTTAAGTCATTAGCTTTTCTTACTCTATGGCACACGTGGCAGCACCACACTGCACCGCTGCACTGCTGACATGGCGGGTCCCCGGAAATAGTCTCAGCCCTACATGTTCTTCAGTCATTCACTTTCTCAACCACCTTAGGATCCTCCATGTTCTTCACAGATGATGATGATAGGTCTACTGACCCTAGTGTTGTGGTTAATTCATCTAGATGCTGCCAAATAGAATCAATAGTTCCATAAACATGTACTGCAATAAAAGTTTCTGAACTTTCAATGGATCAGAAATCATTATTAAATGACTTTCAAGATATTATCTGTATACTGCCTGATTGAATAGAAATCATCATTGGAACGATTTTTTTTTTGTTTAAGATAGTTATTACAAAAGTGAACAATGTAATCATACATGCCAGTTTGTGATTAGAATTTAGATGACAGTGTAGGTGCAAATATTGTTTATTCATAAAATTGGTATAAAGCAATGAGCAAGGAGTGAAAAGGATCTTGAAAGGAATATGATTACACACAAAAGTTAAATAAAGAACTGAGAATAAATTGCAATGCTCCGAAGTGTCTATAAAGAGCTTTTAGTTTATGAAATTTCCCTACTCCAAATTATTCTGTGAGGCTTTAGAATTTTTTATCAACTAGGCATAATCAGATACAGATATGGCAAAAGAGTTCCTACTCCAAGCACAATTATGCCAATGTGGACCCACAATCACATGCGTTCATTAGTAGTTTCCATTGTCCATCATATCAAAAGGGAAAAGTGGGAATATATGTGGACTATATTTAGTAAAATTTCAGAATAAGGTAGCAGTGTAAAGCTAACCTGTAAACTGGTATGGGGCATAGATTGCCTTGTTTTCTTCTCCTGCAAGACCTTCTGGCGGCTTTCGTAAAACTCAAAGTCATCCAATATGGAGGTTCTTGCCACATAGTTCTTGAAAATGTTGAGAATTTCAACACCTTGGGGATAACTCACCTGAAAGAAGAAAACAATATATGACATGAGTAAGCATGCAGAAGTAATAACCAAGTCTTTCACAGTGGATTGTGTCGATTTACTGTGAAATGCAAAATGCAAACCTCTTGTGTGTCTCTACTATTTGTGACAGGCTTGTGATCATTATTCTCAAGTATTATGTGCCGTAATTGAGGATTTGGAACATCCTTTATAATATGCCATTTGACAGGGAAATATCCATTCCATTTATCTTGTTGCCAGAAATCCATACTTTTGTTGAAATCAACTCGACCAGTCATCTCAGCTACTCCACAAAATTGACCACTAGCATTGACCTGAACATAAACAATCACCCTTAAAGATTTTGAGAAACACAATCACACAGTTACCAATCTTAAAATGCATAAGCAAATAAACATGGGTGCAGGGAATCATATGGTTTTTAGACACAACCAAATGGCGTACCGAAAAGAAAAGGAACACAGGGCACTTGCATCGTTTCTCTTCCATTCTCTTCTGTGCATCCTGAAATGCACCATCCAGCCTCTTGTTCCCATTAGGAGTACTCGCCCACACGTTGTACTTGATGCTCTTGTGGATATCATCTTCACTGTATGATTTGATGACAAAGAAAAGTGCATGGTCATATTTGGTTGGAAAATCAGGAAGATTGTATTGATCTGTCTTGATTTTGCTGGTAACATTTCCACTCCCACCTAGGGCCACGTTTCTCGCAGAATTACCTCCAGACACTAATGCACCTTTTGCATTAGCTGTTCTAGGACCTTGATTCTGCTCATTAAGTGAATCATTGACCTTGTTTCTGTTTTTCAACTTATCAGTATTAACCCAGCCCTTTGTATTTGCTTTCACATTAAGCAAGTTGTTTGGATAGAGGAATCCACTCTTTCCTTGATTGTATGTGGGAAACTTGGCGACAGGAGAATGGAGGACTGAAACAGGTGCCTGAAAAAAAAATTACAAGCTCATTAGAATAACCTATTCCAAGGGTGATTACTGATAGGGTAAAACCCTAGGAAGAAGAAAAGTAAGGTTACTTTGTTTGTTTGTTTTGGCTGGTTTCTCTTAACATGAGTTGATGAGACCTCTAATAATGGTGTTGAACCCTTCACTTCTGCCAAGTTAGATGAGGGTGAAGACTTTGACACAATACCACCGGAATGACTCTGGGAAGACAAATTAGATCTACCATTTGGTTTAACAGCCAGTTCACTATAACCATGTCCTTGTAATCCATCTTGGGTGATTAGAGAAGAATCCCATGAGTATGTTGATTGTGGTAACTCTCCATATGATAGAGAAGCTGGAAAATAACCAGGTGATCCAATTGGCTGTTGAAAGATGGAGCCAGGGTGGTAGACATTATACTGTCCTTCAACACCAGCTGTACTTACAGGAAAGTATGAAGGGTAGCCAGTCTGAAATCCTGGCATGAGATAGACATAAGATCCATTATCTGCTTGCATGACCTAAATGAAGCAACAGAAAGAACAAAAATATGTATTGAGACATGTATTATACATCAGTGAATATTCAAAGAATCAATTATATTCTAGCTTGACTTTAAGGTAAGAATGCAAAGAGACTACACACTGAAATCCAATTGTTTAAGCAAACCAGTTAATGTCTACATATGCCCTGAATAAAAACGTACGTCCAGAAAAAATGTATAATGTATATATTAGTTTAAAATATTAATCATTGTTATTTTTTTATGTATGAAGAAAGAAACTGTTGAACTGAGGAGTACATTCGAGCAGAAAACAGATCAAATCACAACGTGTTCTCTGGTTTAAGTTTGAATCTCAAATGCAACCCTGGAAAAAAAAAAATCAACTTGCCAATAAATACATTGTTATTATTTTCTACTCCACCCTTTCATGAAAGAATATGATTCTTGTAGAGATTGTTTACTTCTCAGTAACCTTTATAGTGGAAATGCAGTAAAATGATGTGGTTTTAGTCCCTCATCAGAGACTAAACATTTTTTGGTTAAATGTTTGGACTAAAAAACATGTTAAATTTTTATAAAATTTAGAACCAAATATTGAGATATTTTTTAAGGGAAAAAACATATTTCACCCTATTGTCAAATTCAAGTATTTATACAAGCATAGCCTAAATTGACCAGATTTGCACCAAGTCAACCACAGTCCACAAAATAGCATCAACAGCATGACCAACCACAGCTCAGCTCAAGAGACTTACAGGGTACTGAAGATCCATGGCATCCGCACCAACGTAGTACCCTTGGTTGTCTGATTCTCCAAAGAAACCACCATAACCTGTGATCATTCTACCGTAAGAAGTGAAAACATAAATATTACAACCAATTGAAATGAATAGGGAACCATTCGATGGAACATCTTTGACCAGCAGCAACTGACCTGGATAGTAGTAACCATAATAGCCGCCAGCAGGATAAGGAACACCCTGATCTGTTGTCAAGTATTCATGATCCACATCAACTTCCTTAACACTACCAGAAGCATCTCCTATGGATGATACACACGATCTTGCATCAGATGGGGAACTTGCACCCTTCGAAGGAACCTGAACAAACAACATCCAGATGAACACTAAGAAAACATGAACTATCTATGCCTAAAACACCACCAATGAAACAGTTCATTTCAAATCACAGAACAGAAAAAATGAAAAAATAAAAAACAAATAAATATTCTGAAATCCAAAGACAAAGTGATGCTTTACACATCACATGCATCAACAGAGTTATAGATACGAGGCTAAAATGAAAATTATCATTCGTTACCGTATTGGAATTATTGAGTTCAGCCGTTGAAGAATTACCAAGAAGCTTCTTCCTCATTTCATCTGTAGCTGTTTAAAGCAGAAAATTTCAACCAAGTTAAAATCTCTCTTTTTTTTAATTTTTTCATCCCACTTTACAAAGGGTAACCAAAAGAAAAGAAAAAAAAAATCAAAACCATGAATAACACCCATAAATCAAAAGAACCAAGTAAAAAGGATGAGGGATTACAATTTTGCAATTGAGCAGCCATAGGAATAGTAATTAAACCAGAATCTCTCGGCTTTTCAACTTAAACGAAATTTCTCAAAAGCCCTTCAATACAATTCGCTGAATAGAGCAAAACACGGCAGATCCTCGAAGACACCAAAGAAACACGGCTCTATATATTATATACCATTAGTATATATAAAAAAAGTTCAGCTTTGCTATCTCTTCAACCATGAAGGTGAAGAATCAAAGTGGACAAAACTAGAGAAATCAGATAAACCCCAAGAGATATTTCAGAGAGAAAATTTCTGGATATGGATTGTTTTTACGGCTTGTCTCTAGATTTCAGGGGTATGCAAAAAAAATCACAAAAGAAGAGGATTTTTGGTGTGAGGAAGAGAGAAGGGCGAGAAGCTAGGTGTGGATATCCTTAAAAGATAATATTTTTGGTTGGAAGATATGGTTTTGAATAGAGAACCTATTTAAAGGGGTGCTGATGAATGAATGGAAGATAGAGAATCCTCAGAACAGAACAGAGACACAATGGAAGAGAGAGAAAGTAAAGAGAGAGAGAAGGAGAAGAAGGGAATGGCATCTCATAATATAGAGAAAAGGGACGGTCCACACAGCTCCACATCATCTTCTTCTTTTATTCTAATAACATAATAATTATTATGAAAATAAAAAATACGTGTTAATGGAGTGTTTTCACAGCTTTCAGAGTTTCTCTTTTACGAGTTAATTAACCGTGTCTTGCCTTGTCTCTCAGACTACCCGCGTCAATTCAAAATGGTAGAAATAAAATTATTAATAATTGATTTATTATTTTAACTAAATTAAAAATTGTGTGTTAAATGTTATTGATTGAGTAATAAAAATTATAGAAATAAAACAAATTATACTTTTGAAAAGTTATTGACTTTTATAACTTAACGAATTATAAGTACAACTGTTTAATATATTATATTGACTAAACGATTTTAGTTTTAATAAAATAAAAAATAAATATAATTGCAATACTAAATAAAAAAATATGTAATATAAACATTTGTCATATAATTGACTATTATATTTAATATATATATATATATATATATATATATTACAATACATAATTTTGTAATTTTGAATAAATTAAAATATACCCAGTTTGAATTATTTTTATTTTAAATATTTAGTTTAAAAAAAATATTTAAATTATTAATGTACAAGTGTCATTATGAATCTTTTATCATTTAGAGTTCAGTACTTAGGTTTAAAGGTGATAATTGTTTAGTACATTATAATCAAACATTGAATCTTTATTTTTATTTTTTAGGAACAAAGACAAAAAAATATTTTGTCATTATTGACTAAATTAAAAATTATTATAGTTAAATTGAATTTTGAATTATAATTAAATTGGTCTCTAACCTTGAATCGGAATCTAATTAATCTTTAATCTTAACTTTTAATTACTTATTCAAAAATAATCTCTATTTTAAAATCTGATTTTAATTAATAGATGAAACTTTGATAACTAAGATTAGAGACCAATTTAAATTTTAATTACAATTAATTCAATGAAAATAGTTTTTTTGCAATTTAGTTCATATAAAAATTAATTATACTTTATCTCTAAATTAGTTGCTATTATATAAAATTCTTGTAATGATTATGTTAGTTTTTTAAATTTTAGTCTCTGACTATACAAAAGTTCAATTTTAATTTTTAATATAACATATATGAAAAAAATACAATATCAATAAGTATATATGTATGAGATTCTTTTTCACAATCTAGTGGATGGGGAGAGTTAATAATTTTAATGGTAATGATATATAAAAGTTTTCTCTAACTTTGTGTCACATATCTAATAAACAAATTAAGATAGTTTCATAAGCTGTCAAATGTGAAAATTTAGAAATGGTTGAAGATGAACGAATTTTATGTGAATTAATTGTAGATCTCTTTTATTTCTATAATAGGTGTGACTAGCTCAATTTTTCTCTAAGAACATGTTTAATTCAAAACATTGAGATGCATTAATGTAATATTTCCGAAAAGATAAGTATGTGTTTTGATAAAATTTAATTAATTTTAAAATGATTTAATTATATATATATATATATATATATATATATATATATAATAAACGAGTTTTTTATAATTCAGTTGCTGCCATATTAAAAGAAATGTTACAATTGACTAATATCAAATTAATCTTTTAAAATATTACTACGTCGATATTACAGGTTTTTTTTAAAAACTTTTTTTCTTAGATTAATTTCTTAAAAATGTAAAATGTCAGAGTGTTTATTTTTAGGAAAAAAGTAAAGCAGTGATAACAAAAAAGGTTTTAGTAACTATTGAAAGATAATTTGAAGGATTAATGATGAGATTTTGGAGCTTATTTTGGTGATAAAAATCCATGAAGAGTTCCTTATAGGAATTTTGTTTATATTGTAATAAATTGTTTTTTAAAAGTAAGTTGACTATAATATTTTGCTTTCAACAAATGATTAGTTTATCGTGATCCCTTTGTTCAGTAAGTCAAACATCATATAACAAACCATTTGTTCCCAATTAGGATACAAACACTAAACTAATTAAGCATATATGACAATTTCAAACATGATGTATATATAAACTATCTCCCAATAGTACTACTTAATTCCATATTCTATAAAACTCCATAATCATGGATGGACAAAGACATGCTTTAAAATTCATAATTGTTATTTTTTTTTGGAGTAAATTATAAGTAATTATTTTACAGTACTTTTAAATCATATAGCAAGAGAAAACATTGAAGTTTTTTTTTTAATTACGAACGCTAGAGAAAATGGAGAAAAAAGAGCCAAAAATGTATTTTTATGAAAGAAAAGCGGAAAATAACCAAATAAAAATTCTAAAATTGAGAATTGCGTTCAATAATTAATTATTCGAGGTATCTTCCATTGCATAATTCATGACATCATGTTATAGTTAAAAATAAATTTCCAAAAGAAGAAACTTGACTTACACAAAAACAATAATTTGAAAAAGTTTAACATACAATTTCTTTCCCTTAATTAAGTATATTTATTGTTGAATGTTAACTATTGTGATACATTAAGTTATGAAAGAATGTTAACTTTGGAATAGTCGTAGGAGTATACTATTAAGCAACCTGTGTTCAAGTTTCCCCAACTAATTTCCATATGCATTTCTTCAGTATTTGGTAAAGACAAGCACCTTGTTCCTTGCTCCTTCCCCATGCATGTTTCTGTCAAATTTATGAGAAAATAGTAATTTTCATATGCAAGTTGTGAAATTCAAATTTTTTTTTTAAAATAGGTTTTGATATGTTATGAGTTATTGACATATTGAAACAAAAAATATCATAAATTTGATGGTGTTTTTTGTTTTCATGTACGGGTTATTTTCATATAATATGTAATGATTCTGAATAAATAAATAAATAAATAAAAGAGAGAGAGAAGGGTATTGCATGAAAATATATGGTAGCAATGATTGAGGCAAAAAGCAAGAAACGTGGGAAGTTGTACTTGAATTATAGTAATGACAAATCGAAACCCTAATTTGGTTTAGTTTATAAATGAGAAGCCGTGTTGGTGTTTGCTTAGTGAAATATAAAATAGTTTGAACATTTGATTTGGAAGAAGACAGAGAGGGATTAGGAATCCACTAGAAGATGGAAAATAAAGACAGAAAATAAAGGAGAGAAGGTAGAAGAAACTGAATAATTAATATATATTTTAATTAATGTATTTATTTAAATGTTTTTTTCTTTGTTTTTTTTTAGGGTTTGTCAAAGTCAGTGTGTTTGCCTTAATGGCTAAGGATTGTGAGCCACTCCGTCCACATTTCGCGTGGCGTGGCAAGCAATCCCATCTTCCTGTGTTTTTCTTTTTTTACTTTTCATTTGAAAAAAGTGAATGCAGATTCATATTGATTTTCTTGGTGTTCTTATTATAGTTATGAGGTAAGAGGGCATGAGAGTTGCCACGTTTTAGAGTTCAATATGGAGTGCACGTGTCACACTCAAATGCGCACAAGTGATAACGTCTAATTATGTTCCCCCAACATAACAATCCTTTATTAATAAACACATTCATTTTTTATTAAAAAATATTTTTAATTATACTCTGTTTCCATTTTTATGATCTTTTTTATTTCATTTATTAAAATATTATGTATATTAATTTCAAAATATAAATATTCATTTATGAAATTATTACTTTTTGGAGAGACAAATGAGATAATGTTTACAGGAAATAGAGAAATTGAAGACAAAGTGTGAGAGAGTATGGAAGAAATACTATTTTTTTATTATAATTTTATGTTCAAGAGAAAACATTAAGGAAAATAATAAATAATATATATACATTATATATTTCGATAAAAAAATGTTTTTAAAACTAGAGAATTCATTGAATACATAAAGATATGAGTTTAAGATTAGGAGTTTAATTAAAATTTAATTAAATTTAAAAATATAAAAATTATTATTATATTTATTATAAGTTATACAAGTTATAAATATAAATTATAGTAAAAATTATAAGACAAATAATAATTAAAACAAGATAAAAATATAATAGATAATTATTATTTAAAATTAATAATTAATATATTACGAAAAAAGTAAAAAAATATTAATATTATATATATAAAAATATACATTTTTTCACATCGGTTGTAAGGAACCGATGTAGAAAGTCTAATATTTTTATTTATTCATAACCCTCTCCAATTATCCTATCTATTGATAGGTATGTCTCTTCTCCCTTTTATATTATATTTTTATTATTTATGCAAGATTCAAACCCAGTACCTTAGAGTCGAAGCCGATACTCCAACCACTAAGCTACTAGGATTTTCTAATAATAACTTATACATAAATTATATTTATATACAAATAAAAATGTATATCCATGTAAATATAAAATATATAAATACAAATACAAATATATTTATATATTTATATGTTGGATGTGAGGGCGCGCTAGAGGATGAAAGTGTGTGTCGAGTGAATTTTCAAAATTTGATGTCAAATTT